TAAAATAATATCTTAACCTCTTAGTTTCCCGGGGTTTGAACTGATAATAAAATAAAAAATAATATCTTAACCTCTTAGTTTCCTGGGGTTTGATTGTTTTGTTTTTGTTTTTAATTATGCACAAAGCTACACAAGGGCTATCTGTGCTCTGCCCACCACGGGTATCGAAATCCGGTTTCTAGCGTTGTAAGTCCGCAGACATACCGCTGTGTCACTGGGGGGACATATCGTTAGAACTGTTACTTGTTTAAATAGTTATATTGTTACAAATACTCCCCCCACAAGGGACCCTTACCTAATTACACATATTGTTAGAATTGTGACACAAGGAATACAATTCAAATGATTTTTTTGCTTAAATAGTTATATTGTTTCAAACACTCCCCCCACAAGAAATCCTTATCTAGTTACAGGTATCCTAATTTGTTATCTGAAAAAACAAAACAAAAACCATTTAGATACGAGACTCTGATTAATTTATGAGTTAAGTTTAAATCCATAGTTTCTTCATACTACATACACACATTCTACTCCCTCCCTACTATATATCAAAGAATGTTTTACCTCTCCAATCAGTGGTACAAAGATCTCAAACCAGACGCCGTGATTCCGATATGAAAGTCTTATTTACAATAAGGTGACAGACTAGAAGAATGTATTTCTTTAGGAACCATCCGAGAAGCACGTGACCGGAAATAAGACTGGGGCTTTAGAAGTGACTGCTTTTCGGGTTTATAAAATAAGTCACAAGAGAACATCCACTTCCTACCGGTCGCGTGGCAAAATGTTAAGCATAATAGTGTTCGCCTTCAGCTCGCTCTTACACCCAGAAAAATCTCGGCCACCTACGTGCGAACTCTCTGTGGGCGTGGCTTATTCTTCCTCCGCCTCTTGTGGCGCTTGATGAGTAACGGATGGCTGCTTCTCATAGGTTCTTCCTACGTCTGTTATTTCTCTCAAACAAAACACGCCGATTCACCGTCGAGAAGAGGTATAACGAATTTAATTACCGATACGATTGATGTAGGATGTAAATATGCGCTTCGAACAAAACAAGAAACACAAAAACAGAGAAGTAAAGTCTCAAACAACGTTGACTAGTTTCGTGTATGCCCGTTGCTTATTACTGAACGTTTGTTTTGTTGTTCTTGTTTAAGCGCAAATATGAAGAATGAGCTAACCACCACAGAGAAGGAACCCAGAGTTTTAACGTAATAAATCCTCAAGCTGAAGGGACCTTTTACACTAAAAGTTTTCAATAGACATATCAGTTACTAGTGAGCACTAATAAGGAGTTTCTTTAAATCATCAAACGAGGCTTACGTGAAAGATTTCATAAAACCAGAGAACGGTTAAATCTTCACAGATTATTTTATTATCAGTTCAAACCCCGGGAAACTTAGAGGTTAAGATATTATTTTTTATTTTATTATCAGTTCAAACCCCGGGAAACTAAGAGGTTAAGATATTATTTTTTATTTTATTATCAGTTCAAACCCCGGGGTAATTAGGTAAGGGTTCCTTGTAAATAGTTATATTGTTACAAATACTCCCCCCAAACAAGAAACAGTTCTAACAATATGT